CAGCCGGGGGGCCCACCCAGCGCCTGGAGCCGCAGGTGTGTGAGCTGGGTTGGGCCGTGGTGACAGGAGCAGTCAGGGTCTGTCTACACTACCCTGCTAGTTCGAACTACCGAGACTCCTCATTCCACGAGGTGCACCGGTAGGAATAGGAAGCCTAGTCCGAACTACCTAGTTCGAGCCCCGTGTAGCCGCGCTGCACGGGGTTCGAACCAGCGGGGTTTAAAAATGGCGGAGCCCTGCTTATGCAAATGAAGCCCGGGAAATTAAAATCCCGGGCTTCATTTGCAAGTGCGGTATGCCTACATTACCCTCCTCGTTCGAACTAGCGGGGTAGTGTAGACAGACCCTCAGTCAGGTACATCTGGGGAGCTGGGTGGGCCTCAGTTTCCCTGGCTCTGCCCCTCCCCTAAACCCCACCGGCCAAGACTGACCTGCTCCCAGCTGCCTGCCCCCTCCCCTGGCCTTTGTCGGGCCCAGGGTCCCCTGGTGCCCCCCTCCCCTGCCCGGCTCAGGATACGAAGGGCACCAACCCTACCCTCAGCAAACACCCCCCGGTTCCTACCACCGGGACATTGGTGCCACACACAGGGAAACTGAGGCATGCCCAGCATTCACGCAGAGCAGCCAGACTCCCATACACCCTCACAAGGGGAGAGCCTGCCTCCTCAGCCCCCTTCTCTTGCAGGACCCAGCAAGCCTCACATGGGGGGCAGCCCATCCTGCCCCCCTCATTGCTGCCCCTTCTCTGCCCTTCAGGGTAACTCGGGCGAGACGGGCCCCAGGCTCCCCCGGGCCCCCTGGGGAGCAGGGCCTCCCAGGAGCTGCCGGCCGGGAAGGCGCCAAGGTAAGTACCATGTGCAGGGAATGCAGGGTGTTTGTGTGCACCCCCAATGCCTGCACAGGCAGCACTGCCAGCAGGCCTCACCCAGGGCTGGGAGCTTGGACCCCTGGGGCCTCTCCCTGGCTCTGGGAGGGCAGTGGGGTCCAGTGGTTAGAGCGGGGGGGCGGGGGTCTGGGGATTGCTCAGAGGCCAGACTCCTGGGTCCTCTCCCTGGCTCTGGGAGGGCAGTGGGGTCCAGTGGTTAGAGCGGGGGGGCGGGGGTCTGGGGATTGCTCAGAGGCCAGACTCCTGGGTCCTCTCCCTGGCTCTGGGAGGGCAGTGGGGCCTAGTGGTTAGAGCGGGGGGGCGGGGGTCTGGGGATTGCTCAGAGGCCAGACTCCTGGGTCCTCTCCCTGGCTCTGGGAGGGCAGTGGGGCCTAGTGGTTAGAGCGGGGGGGCGGGGGTCTGGGGATTGCTCAGAGGCCAGACTCCTGGGTCCTCTCCCTGGCTCTGGGAGGGCAGTGGGGCCTAGTGGTTAGAGCGGGGGGGCGGGGGTCTGGGGATTGCTCAGAGGCCAGACTCCTGGGTCCTCTCCCTGGCTCTGGGAGGGCAGTGGGGCCTAGTGGTTAGAGCGGGGGGGCGGGGGTCTGGGGATTGCTCAGAGGCCAGACTCCTGGGTCCTCTCCCTGGCTCTGGGAGGGCAGTGGGGCCTAGTGGTTAGAGCGGGGGGGCGGGGGTCTGGGGATTGCTCAGAGGCCAGACTCCTGGGTCCTCTCCCTGGCTCTGGGAGGGCAGTGGGGCCTAGTGGTTAGAGCGGGGGGGCGGGGGTCTGGGGATTGCTCAGAGGCCAGACTCCTGGGTCCTCTCCCTGGCTCTGGGAGGGCAGTGGGGCCTAGTGGTTAGAGCGGGGGGGCGGGGGTCTGGGGATTGCTCAGAGGCCAGACTCCTGGGTCCTCTCCCTGGCTCTGGGAGGGCAGTGGGGCCTAGTGGTTAGAGCGGGGGGGCGGGGGTCTGGGGATTGCTCAGAGGCCAGACTCCTGGGTCCTCTCCCTGGCTCTGGGAGGGCAGTGGGGCCTAGTGGTTAGAGCGGGGGGGCGGGGGTCTGGGGATTGCTCAGAGGCCAGACTCCTGGGTCCTCTCCCTGGCTCTGGGAGGGCAGTGGGGCCTAGTGGTTAGAGCGGGGGGGCGGGGGTCTGGGGATTGCTCAGAGGCCAGACTCCTGGGTCCTCTCCCTGGCTCTGGGAGGGCAGTGGGGCCTAGTGGTTAGAGCGGGGGGGCGGGGGTCTGGGGATTGCTCAGAGGCCAGACTCCTGGGTCCTCTCCCTGGCTCTGGGAGGGCAGTGGGGCCTAGTGGTTAGAGCGGGGGGGCGGGGGTCTGGGGATTGCTCAGAGGCCAGACTCCTGGGTCCTCTCCCTGGCTCTGGGAGGGCAGTGGGGCCTAGTGGTTAGAGCGGGGGGGCGGGGGTCTGGGGATTGCTCAGAGGCCAGACTCCTGGGTCCTCTCCCTGGCTCTGGGAGGGCAGTGGGGCCTAGTGGTTAGAGCGGGGGGGCGGGGGTCTGGGGATTGCTCAGAGGCCAGACTCCTGGGTCCTCTCCCTGGCTCTGGGAGGGCAGTGGGGCCTAGTGGTTAGAGCGGGGGGGCGGGGGTCTGGGGATTGCTCAGAGGCCAGACTCCTGGGTCCTCTCCCTGGCTCTGGGAGGGCAGTGGGGCCTAGTGGTTAGAGCGGGGGGGCGGGGGTCTGGGGATTGCTCAGAGGCCAGACTCCTGGGTCCTCTCCCTGGCTCTGGGAGGGCAGTGGGGCCTAGTGGTTAGAGCGGGGGGGCGGGGGTCTGGGGATTGCTCAGAGGCCAGACTCCTGGGTCCTCTCCCTGGCTCTGGGAGGGCAGTGGGGCCTAGTGGTTAGAGCGGGGGGGCGGGGGTCTGGGGATTGCTCAGAGGCCAGACTCCTGGGTCCTCTCCCTGGCTCTGGGAGGGCAGTGGGGCCTAGTGGTTAGAGCGGGGGGGCGGGGGTCTGGGGATTGCTCAGAGGCCAGACTCCTGGGTCCTCTCCCTGGCTCTGGGAGGGCAGTGGGGCCTAGTGGTTAGAGCGGGGGGGCGGGGGTCTGGGGATTGCTCAGAGGCCAGACTCCTGGGTCCTCTCCCTGGCTCTGGGAGGGCAGTGGGGCCTAGTGGTTAGAGCGGGGGGGCGGGGGTCTGGGGATTGCTCAGAGGCCAGACTCCTGGGTCCTCTACCCAGGTGCAAAACCTGGGGGTGCTACAGCTGCCTCTGCAAACACCCACTTTCCATGCCTACGTTGCTATGGCGATGGCCGGTTCCTGGGGGACGGTTCCCCTGGCGATGGCGGGTTACCTGGAGCTAGTTGCTATGGCGATGGCTGGTTCCTGGGAGACGGTTCCCCTGGTGATGGCGGGTTACCTGGGACTAGTTGCTATGGCGATAGCCGGTTCCTGAGGGATGGTTCCCCTGGCAACAGGGGGTTGCCCTGGGGTGCCCCTGGTGCGGCTTATGAGGTCTCTTTGCCTTTGCAGGGGGAAATGGGGGGCCCTGGCCAGAAGGGGAGCAAGGGGGACAAGGGTGGGGCGGAGTTGCTATGGCGATGGCCGGTTCCTGGGGGACGGTTCCCCTGGCGATGGCGGGTTACCTGGGGCTAGTTGCTATGGCGATGGCCGGTTCCTGGGGGACGGTTCCCCTGGCGATGGCGGGTTACCTGGGGCTAGTTGCTATGGCGATGGCCGGTTCCTGGGGGACGGTTCCCCTGGCGATGGCGGGTTACCTGGGGCTAGTTGCTATGGCGATGGCCGGTTCCTGGGGGACGGTTCCCCTGGCGATGGCGGGTTACCTGGGGCTAGTTGCTATGGCGATGGCCGGTTCCTGGGGGACGGTTCCCCTGGCGATGGCGGGTTACCTGGGGCTAGTTGCTATGGCGATGGCCGGTTCCTGGGGGACGGTTCCCCTGGCGATGGCGGGTTACCTGGGGCTAGTTGCTATGGCGATGGCCGGTTCCTGGGGGACGGTTCCCCTGGCGATGGCGGGTTACCTGGGGCTAGTTGCTATGGCGATGGCCGGTTCCTGGGGGACGGTTCCCCTGGCGATGGCGGGTTACCTGGGGCTAGTTGCTATGGCGATGGCCGGTTCCTGGGGGACGGTTCCCCTGGCGATGGCGGGTTACCTGGGGCTAGTTGCTATGGCGATGGCCGGTTCCTGGGGGACGGTTCCCCTGGCGATGGCGGGTTACCTGGGGCTAGTTGCTATGGCGATGGCCGGTTCCTGGGGGACGGTTCCCCTGGCGATGGCGGGTTACCTGGGGCTAGTTGCTATGGCGATGGCCGGTTCCTGGGGGACGGTTCCCCTGGCGATGGCGGGTTACCTGGGGCTAGTTGCTATGGCGATGGCCGGTTCCTGGGGGACGGTTCCCCTGGCGATGGCGGGTTACCTGGGGCTAGTTGCTATGGCGATGGCCGGTTCCTGGGGGACGGTTCCCCTGGCGATGGCGGGTTACCTGGGGCTAGTTGCTATGGCGATGGCCGGTTCCTGGGGGACGGTTCCCCTGGCGATGGCGGGTTACCTGGGGCTAGTTGCTATGGCGATGGCCGGTTCCTGGGGGACGGTTCCCCTGGCGATGGCGGGTTACCTGGGGCTAGTTGCTATGGCGATGGCCGGTTCCTGGGGGACGGTTCCCCTGGCGATGGCGGGTTACCTGGGGCTAGTTGCTATGGCGATGGCCGGTTCCTGGGGGACGGTTCCCCTGGCGATGGCGGGTTACCTGGGGCTAGTTGCTATGGCGATGGCCGGTTCCTGGGGGACGGTTCCCCTGGCGATGGCGGGTTACCTGGGGCTAGTTGCTATGGCGATGGCCGGTTCCTGGGGGACGGTTCCCCTGGCGATGGCGGGTTACCTGGGGCTAGTTGCTATGGCGATGGCCGGTTCCTGGGGGACGGTTCCCCTGGCGATGGCGGGTTACCTGGGGCTAGTTGCTATGGCGATGGCCGGTTCCTGGGGGACGGTTCCCCTGGCGATGGCGGGTTACCTGGGGCTAGTTGCTATGGCGATGGCCGGTTCCTGGGGGACGGTTCCCCTGGCGATGGCGGGTTACCTGGGGCTAGTTGCTATGGCGATGGCCGGTTCCTGGGGGACGGTTCCCCTGGCGATGGCGGGTTACCTGGGGCTAGTTGCTATGGCGATGGCCGGTTCCTGGGGGACGGTTCCCCTGGCGATGGCGGGTTACCTGGGGCTAGTTGCTATGGCGATGGCCGGTTCCTGGGGGACGGTTCCCCTGGCGATGGCGGGTTACCTGGGGCTAGTTGCTATGGCGATGGCCGGTTCCTGGGGGACGGTTCCCCTGGCGATGGCGGGTTACCTGGGGCTAGTTGCTATGGCGATGGCCGGTTCCTGGGGGACGGTTCCCCTGGCGATGGCGGGTTACCTGGGGCTAGTTGCTATGGCGATGGCCGGTTCCTGGGGGACGGTTCCCCTGGCGATGGCGGGTTACCTGGGGCTAGTTGCTATGGCGATGGCCGGTTCCTGGGGGACGGTTCCCCTGGCGATGGCGGGTTACCTGGGGCTAGTTGCTATGGCGATGGCCGGTTCCTGGGGGACGGTTCCCCTGGCGATGGCGGGTTACCTGGGGCTAGTTGCTATGGCGATGGCCGGTTCCTGGGGGACGGTTCCCCTGGCGATGGCGGGTTACCTGGGGCTAGTTGCTATGGCGATGGCCGGTTCCTGGGGGACGGTTCCCCTGGCGATGGCGGGTTACCTGGGGCTAGTTGCTATGGCGATGGCCGGTTCCTGGGGGACGGTTCCCCTGGCGATGGCGGGTTACCTGGGGCTAGTTGCTATGGCGATGGCCGGTTCCTGGGGGACGGTTCCCCTGGCGATGGCGGGTTACCTGGGGCTAGTTGCTATGGCGATGGCCGGTTCCTGGGGGACGGTTCCCCTGGCGATGGCGGGTTACCTGGAGCT